GGACATGAAGGGAAGAAAAGAAAAAACAACAAGAAGAAGAAATAGAAGAGAATTTTTCTTCCTTTCCCAATGATAACTCCATTGAAATTTCAAGTCTTGCAAGATCACATGTCTAAAAAAAAAATTCATTGTGATTTTGCACTTATGTTTAGACCTCCTTTCCATTTTCAACCCACAATTTTATCTTATTCTGTTACATCACAATCCTTGAATATCCTCTCTTGGTAGGTGAATTTTAGCATAATTTTATGTTAGAGTAGAAGAAGAAAAAGGTTGAACGAAGAATTTACATAAGGGGCACAGAGCTTTTGAGCTAAATATCCTTTTATTTTATAAGCCGATTTACCCAAGCCACATTATAAACCCCAGAAGTCCTCATTGAGATTTGACTTGTTGAATATAATCGGGGCAGTTTTCTTATTAGAGATCATTCCAAGATGCAGATTGTTGAAATTGGGGTAAGCTTATATCTCAATATAAGATCTTTTACTCAAAAATTGTGTCATTTTCAAAGGGACATACAAAACGAAGAGGGGACCTTCTTTTCAATTTCCATATTTATTCCCTTTTATCTCTATACTATCCAAAGACACATCATATAAAATTTGGATTCTCAATTTTACCATTCCATCACTTTCCACTTCACAGTTTGGCTTATCCACGTGATGCCTATCCTTCATACATTTCTTGCACCCAAATGGAGATGCCTCTAAATATTCCCAACATTCCATTGATTGGCCACTTCGTTTCATTTTCAAACACGGCCTTTTGTTTATGATGATTGTTTACATTGACATTGTTAAATAAAGATTAGTGCCAATTTCACTTATTGACTGTACAAGTAGTGATGATAAAGATAGACAATATGGAGCATCCATGTCTAACAAGCCTTTCATAGGGGCAAACAAATTGCCTTGAAAATTCTCAATATGGGAGGAATAAATAGTTTTAAATATCTGAAAGTGTGACCCCTTAGTGTCCAATTCTTGTGGCGAAAGTTGTTAAGTCATTGACTTGCAATTTTATTGGGGAGACCAACAACTTTCCTATTGCAAATGACCAAGAGAACCCTAGCATTTTGCTAATTTCAAGTGTTGTTTCCCTCTTGCATCAAAATCCTGCAACCAAAAAGAAATACATTTTACAATTTCAAATGCATTGAGCATTCCATATCTTCACATGAATTGAAAAATTTCATCTTTCACATCAAAGTGAGCCCTAACTTAGATTGGGGTAAATGAGGAGTTGAATTCTTTTTTAAAAGATGGTCAATCATGCATTACATATTTCACATAAAAATTGCCACAATTTAGATTGGGGCAAATCAAAAGCAAATCATTCACTCCTCCATATCACTCATGGCATACATTGTATCAAAATTGCCACAATTTAAATTGGGGGTAGAAAAAGAATTTAACTTTTGAGCAAAAAAAAAACGAAAGAAAAAAATCAGGCATCATCCATCCATTACATGCTTAACATAAAAATTTGCCTCCATTTAGATTGGGGCAAATAAAAAAAAATCATATCATGCTTAATATGAAAATTTGCCTCCATTTAGATTGGGACAAATAAAAAAAATCATGCATTATGCATTATCCATTCATTACATGCTTAACATGAAAATTTGTCTCCATTTATATTGGGGCAAATAAAAAAAAAATCATGCATTACGCATTATCCATCCATTACATGCTTAACATAGAAATTTGCCTTCACTTAGATTAGGGCAAATAAAAAAAATCATGCATTACATATCACCTCATTGCATGCATTGCCACAGAAAATATGCCCTATTTAGATTGGGGCAAACCAAAAACTTGCAAAACCCAAGGAAATAAGAGAAGAATTAACAAAACTCACCTTTGAGTTTCTCATATTTTCCCCATGAGATGAAACCTATTCTCACACTCTTAAAGCCCTGTAATAGCAGGCACCCCAAAGCCCTGTCACGGCAGGCACCTCAAAGCCCAGTACCGGCTGGCATGATTCTTTAAAGCCCTGTAATAGGCACCCTAAAGCCCTGTCACGGCAGGCACCTCAAAGCCCAGTACCGGCTGGCACGATTCTTTAAAGCCCTGTAATGGCAGGCACCCCAAAACCCTATCACAGCAGGCACCTCAAAGCCCAATACCGGCTGGCACGATTCTTTAAAGCCCTGTAACGGCAGGCACCCCAAAGCCCTGTCATGGTAGGCAACCCAAAAGCCTAGTACCGGCTGGCACAATTCTTTAAAGCCCTGTAACGGCAAGCACCCTTAAAGCCCTGTCACGTCAGGCAACCCAAAGCCTAGTACCGGCTGGCATGATTCTTTAAAGCCTTGTAACGGCAGGCACCCTAAAGTCCTGTTACGGCAGTCACCCCAAAGCCCAGTACCGGCTGGCACGATTCTTTAAAGCCCTGTAACGACAGCACCCTAAAGCCCTGTCACGGCAGGCACCTCAAAGCCCAGTACCGGCTGGCACGATTCTTTAAAGCCCTGTAATAGCAGGCACCCCAAAGCCCTGTCACGGCAGGCACCTCAAAGCCCAGTACTGGCTGGCACGATTCTTTAAAGCCCTGTAATGGCAGGCACCCCAAAGCCCTGTCACGGCAGGCACCTCAAAGCCCAGTACTGGCTGGCACGATTCTTTAAAGCCCTGTAATAGCAGGCACCCCAAAGCCCTGTCACGGCAGGCACCTCAAAGTCCAGTACCGGCTGGCACGATTCTTTAAAGCCCTGTAACGGCAGGCACCCCAAAGCCCTGTCACGGCAGGCACCTCAAAGCCGAGTACCGACTGGCATGATTCTTTAAAGCCTTGTAACGGCAGGCACCCCAAAGCCCTGTCACGGCAGCCACCTCAAAGCCCAGTACCGGCTGGCATAATTCTTTAAAGCCCTGTAACGGCAGGCACCCGAAAGCCCTGTCATGGCAGGCAATCCAAAAGCCCAGTACTGGCTGGCACAATTCTTTAAAGCCCTGTAACAGCAGGCACCTTTAAAGCCCTGTCACATTAGGCAACCCAAAGCCCAGTACCGGCTGGCATGATTCTTTAAAGCCCTGTAACGGCAGGCACCCTAAAGTCCTGTTATGGTAGGCACCTCAAAGCCCAGTACCAGCCGGCACGATTCTTTAAAGCCCTGTAACGGCAGGCACCCCAAAGCCCTGTCACGGCAGGCACCTCAAAGCCCAGTATCGGCTGGCATGATTCTTTAAAGCCCTGTAACGGCAGGCACCCCAAAGCCCAGTACCGGCTGACATGATTTTTTAAAGCCCTGTAACAGCATGCACCCTAAAGCCCTATCACGGCAGGCAACCCAAGAGCCCAGTACCGGCTGGCACAATTCTTTAAAGCCCTATAACGGCAGGCACCCTTAAAGCCCTGTCACGTTAGACAACCCAAAGCCTAGTACCGGCTGGCATGATTCTTTAAAGCCCTGTAACGGCAGGCACCCTAAAGTCCTGTTACGGCAGGCACCCCAAAGCCCAGTACCAGCTGGCACAATTCTTTAAAGTCCTGTAACGGCAGGCACCCCAAAGCTCAGTACCGGCTGGCACAATTCTTTAAAAGCCCTGTTACGACAGGCACCCCAAAGCCTAGTACCGGCTGGCACAATTCTTTAAAGCCCTATCACAGCAGGCATCCTTCAAGCCTTGTAAAGGCAAGCATCCACCAGGTCCTTTGGAACATAGGCAATTCATCTCCATTGAGGTTTTGTTTTGTTTAGTTCCTAAATCACATTTCATTTTAAACCCTTCATTTTATTTTGTTTTGTTTTGTTTTGTTTTTGTTTTTTTTGTTTGTTTTGTTTAGTTGTAGGTACCTAAGAGTCTTGCCCTTCCAAACAAAATACATATTTCTCTCTTCATTCATTTCTAAGGTAAAAATATCATCTCATGAAATTCTCACTTAGAAATCAAATGAAGAGGGGGCATCTAGTCAACATATATTTTGTTTGGATCGTTGTCATTTGATTATTTTCATTCACATCACATTGCTAAAACCAAAAAAAATTATTATGCTATTGTGTTTGTTATCCAATAGTCTTGCATCATTTGGTCATTTTGATTTGTGTCACATTGCTAAAAAATAAAAAATAAAAATCATCATTTTACTGTGTTTGTTATCGTATAATCTTACATTCTTTTATGTTATTTGAGGGATAATCTTCTTACATTACTAAGAAAAAAACAAAAAAAAATCACGTCACTGTGTTGGTTAAGCAATAGTCTTGCATTTAATTATATCTTGTCGTGTCAGGGGCAATTAGGTCTTTTCATAGGTATTGCATGGCTGGCCAAAATATATGTTCTCTCTTTACTTGTCACTTATGTAAGAATTCAAAAGCACACTTTTTCTTATACTTACATAAGAAACAAGTAAAGAGGGGTAACTGTGAACATCATATTTTGTCCGGGCATTTTTTTTAAATTTAATAATAAATAATTAAAAAATATAAAAAATACAAAAATGAAATTTAATCCTTTTTTAGGATTATACACTACTACAGAATATATCTTTAGGAGCGGGTATTTAGGAGCGCTTCTTTAAAAAGCGCTCTAAAATGTAAATGCGGAATTTACCGGAGCGCTTTTTTAGAGGGCTTTTCAATAAGATAATACTCCTAATTAATATAAATAAAATATTATAAAAAATTTAAAAAGACCTTCGGGAGTGCTCGTAGTTAAGCGCTCCGGAAGACTATCTTCCGGAGCGCTCTTTTAATAAGCGCTCCGAAAGAGTTGTTCTTCCGGAGCGCTCATCAAAGAGCGCTCCGAAAGAGAGATCTTCCGAAGCGCTCTTTGAAGAGCGCTCCGGAAGACCACCTCTTCCGGAGCGCTCATTCATGAGCGCTTCGGAAGAGGTGGTCTTTTATATCTCTGCCTCCCGTCAGTTTTCTTTTCCCTATTTATGAGTTTCTTTCAAACCTCTCTCTCATTTGCTGAGGTTGTGCGTTCCCAACGAGTTCTAGATCATCGCTGTATCAGTCTATCTTCCGTCGCTGTTCACTGTTCCAGATCGTCGTCCGCCGCTGTTCGCTGTTCCAGATCGTTGTTCGCCACTGTTCGCTATTCCAAATCATCGTCTGCTGTTGTTCGTTGTTCCAGATTAGTGTTCATCGCTGTTTGTTCATTTCTGTGTCATGTCGCGCCATCTGTCTCTGTTTTTGCGCTGCCGTTGCCGTCACCGCCATCTCCTGCATCACTATTCTAGATCTACATTGCTGTTCCAGATTTGTGCGGCTGCTGTACACTGGAGGAAGCGACACCGTGAAGACCTCCGTTGTAGCCGTGTGTCATTGCTGTACAGCCGAGGAAGCAACGCTGCAAAGACCTCCGCTACTGCCGTGAAGACTTTCGTTTTCTGCCATGAAGACTACACTGTGAAGGTATTTTTTTAATAATTAATTTATAATGTAATATATTGATATATTTATATATATTTGAGAATAAATTTCACATATATTTTTTTAATAATCAATATTATAGATAATATATGAATTGGAGTTATTTATATTAGAATTATGGAGTATTTGTAGTTGATAATTAGATTAAAGTTGAGGAAACTACTTGAACATTTTTATTTTATTTATGAAATATACTTTTAAGGGAGATTATTGTTATTAATTAAATTACAATTGATTGACAGAATTTAGATGCATTATGCTACTAAATTTTTATTTGGATGAATTAATTTTTTGAGTTTAAATGTATTGTGTTGTGGAATTTGATTGTTTGATCATTTGAGAGGTTCTTCTTTTAAGGAAGATGTTGTTGAATTTTTTTTATAGAAATCTAAGTCTTTTGTTTATTGAATTTTGATAATCATATTAGTGATATGGATCATAAGTGGATGTCGGCTAATCAACTATCTAGAGAATATTGGGATGGTGTAGATGAATTCATTGAATTTGCATTTTGTTGTGATCAAGACCCCCTTGGAGTCATATGTCCTTGTTTGAAATGTTGCTATGGAAAAAGAGTAAAGCCAATAAAATTGAAAGATCATTTAATCTGTAATGGGATTGATCCAACTTATACTTGTTGAACCATGCATGGGGAGACAAGGAATGATGCAAATGATTGGAGGGATAGTGCGAGCTACTCAACATTTGATCGTGATAGTGGGACATATGATGTTGACCGTCTTGATGAAATGATTCATATATATAACTTCATCGCTGAAGTATTTTAAATTAAGTTAGAATTTATTTTCACCATATTTTGATAATGACATCTTTTATTGTTTTATAGGTACCTACACAATTACAAGGTTGGGAGTGTGGATACTATGTTATGAAGTTTATGAGAGAAGTAATCACACAACAAGAGTTGATCATTCCTGAAAATGTAAGTCAAAAACTTTAAAATTAAGTTGATATAATGTTAATTCCTTATATATTGCTTTCATATCTTGTGTAGTATTTTGTTGGAGTAAGATGTTCGTATTTTACTATGGAGCAAATAGAAGATTTAGTTGAAGAGTTGTCAGAATATATTATTAGCTGTTTGTGATAGGAAGTTAGATTTCAATGTTAGAAAAATAACAATAGTTTCATTTGTTAGGCTTGTTAGAAATTAAACTAGGTTAGTTAGGAAATTAAAATTTTTGTATCAGTTTCAAATTCTTTTCTTGTATATAAATTTTTATGTTAATATTATTTTTAAATTATTTTTTGATATTATGATTTGTCATTATTAAAGAGACGTAAAAGGAGAAATTTCAAAAAATCTGATTTAAAAAAAAATTAAAGTAATATATGGGAGCGCTCATTTGAAAAGCGCTCTTGTAAAGTAACATACAGGAGCGCTCTTCCAGAGAGCGCTCCTATATGGTTCATACGGGAGCGCTCTTTATAAAAGCGCTCCGGTATGGTTGCATACGGGAGCGCTCTTGTAGAGAGCGCTCCCGTATGTATCTCCCTTACAGGAGCGCTTTTCGAAAAGCGCTCCCGTATAGCGTATATACAGGAGCGCTTTTTTTAAGCGCTCCTATACATTTCGGAGCGCTCGATACGAGAGCGCTTCAAAAGCGCTCCCTAAAGTAAAAAAAAAAGCGCTCCTATAAACTTATTTTGTAGTAGTGATATTTTCAAAAAAAATCTTGCTCAAATTTTTTTAAAAAATCTCTCTCAAATTATCCCAACCATTCAAAGATATTGGGAATCAATTTTTGAGACTCAACTATTTTTAAATTTCTCTCCTTAAATCTTTTGTTTTTCATTTAAAAATATATGCTTTAAAATTAGACTTTTCTTTCCCCCCTCAATCTAATTAATAAAAAAAGGGGCATTAAAAATGAAAAAAAAAGGAAAAGAAGAAGGAACAGATACATAACACATGAAATACACGTACACACACTCTCTCTCTCTCTCTCGGCCATGCAGCAGGAAAAGGAGAAAACAGCAGAAACAGAGACACAAAACGCAGAAACAACACCCACACGCGAGCAGAAAAGCACAGCAAAAGAAGGAGCAGCAACTATGATGTGCACACACACAGACTGCCGTACGTAGAAGAAGAACAAGCATGCACGCAAAGATAATACACAAAATCAGAGCTACGGACAACACAAAGAGAGCAGACTTTTCGGCCAAAGAGCACAGAAGAAAAGACCAGACAAAAAAAACTAACAGAATAGAAGAAGGAGAAGAGTATACGCCAGCCGAAAACGCAGAGAGACAGAGATGAAAAAAGAGAGATGTAGAACTAAAGAGAAGGAAGAGTCATGCAAAAAAGAAGCACACACAAAACACAGAAACCGAACCCAACACGCCAGCTGATACGCGCAAAGAAAAATACACAGAAAGAAGAAAGAGAGACGCATGCACGTACGAAGAAGCAAAGAAAAACAGAGCTGGAGATACACGCATGGGATAGCAATAGACAAGTGCATAAAAGAGAGTATAAAAACGTAGAAAACAGCAGAGAATGGGAGAGGACGGAAGGGGCTGAAAAACAGAGCAAGAAGGGAAGAAAAAAAAAGAAAGATAGTGACAGCGGAGAGATGACCGAAGGACGTGAAACAGAGAGCTAAGACGAGAAGAGAGGAAAGCTGGAAGGGAAGAGAGGAAAACTGGAAGGGAAGAGAGGAAAACTGGAAGAGAAGAGGAAAAAAAAGAGAGGACAGAATGAAAGACTGAAAAATCAAGAAAAACAGAGCATGAAACACGGATAGGTTCGAGATAGAAAAAAAGAAGAGAACCGTGGGAGGAGACTGATCCAAAACTAGAAAAAGAGAGAGCCAAGGATGATAGGGAGGAGGAGACAAAAAGAAAAACACTGGCAAAGGAGGAGGAGAGAACTGGACGAAAAAAGAAGAAGAAACAAAGACTAGAAGAAAGTAGAGAAGAGAGCACAAAAAAAACGAACAAGAGAGGGAAGGAGAAGAAGTTGCAGAAAGAAGAGAGACCGAGGTTGAAAGAGCACCAGTAGAGGGAAAGAGAGAGATCTTACATTTTATTACTCTCTCACGGTAAGATCTGGAGATAGAGAGAGAGAGAGATTCAAATGGTTTGGGATCCTCACCGTCATGTTCCTGATCATCTGGCTGCTACGTTTTCACGAGGAGATGATGTATGATTCTTTCAACAAATTCTGAGTCTTCAACGTCCACTTTCTACTGATGTTCATGGGTTATATCTTCATGTCTGGTCAAGCAACGATGGCATACCATATGATACCGACTGAGAGTCTGAATTGATGTCACACGAGTGCTGGATGTTTTACAAGCAACAAAGAATCAAAAACACGTTCAATACTTGAGGTTGAGGTGATGAAAGTGTTGTCTTGAGAAGAAGAAGAATGTAAACCTAGAATCACAAGTTACTCAGGTGATATTTAAATCGTGTCATCTCCCTTAATTTGGATTTAATTCATTGATGAACATGTATATATTGATAGATGCTAAGAGTGTAGACTGATCCATATATATATGTTTAGGCATTAGAAATTCATGAATCAAATATTTGTTTTAGAATTTAGAACATACTTGAGAGGTGTTTGACAAAATAAAAAAAAGAAGAAGAAGCCTGTGAGAATATCGTTGATAATTTGTTAGGTGATTGTGGTTTGAAGCCGTATCTATCATGGTTATGATCTTGCTAGACTTTATGCCAAATATGGATTTTTTAGAATATATCCCCAGGTTAAAAGAATAGTGAACTGTCAAAATAATTTATTTCTTTATTCTTTACATTGCTTTCATCGCATGAATCATTTAGCCAACCATAATATTATGCACTGCCTGCAAATGCAAATATCTTAATTACCTATTTGTCGTGTGAGATTTTAAGAATCTCCATAGGCATTTAGAATGATCCTTTATCGTGTAAATCAATAAGATTTCGCAGGTATGAGAATCAATCTTGTATATATTAATATGGGTTCGAAAAGCCCATTATTAAAATTAATTCTCTCTTTATAATAAATATTTAAGTCTCATGTGAGATTTCAAGAATTTTTGTAGAGACTTAAATTAATCACCTTATCGTGTGAGATAATAAGTCCTCGCAGATATAGCGATTATCAATTTTTATAATATAATAAATGATATTTGTAAATAATCATATAATAAACAATTTAGAAACCTTAATTAACCAAATTAATGTATTTAAATTGTAACTATATTTACCGATTATATCTTTTAGTCATGTGAGATTTTTGAATCTCCGTAGGCTTCTAAGATCATTGTATCGTCGTGTGTGTCAATAAGACTCTGCAGATATAACGATTTAGTTTTTAAAATATATATATACATATATATTATATAATTAATTAAATCAATTAATTAAATTTAATTCCTTTATCGTGTGAGATTTTAGAATCTCTGCAGATATTTAGGATAAATCATATGATCGTATAAGCCAATAAGGCTATACAGGTATGATGATTAAAATCCTTTAAAAAATATATACACACTTAAGTAAAATTATTATTAACACTTAAAAATATACATAAGAATATAAATCAATAAATTAAATTGCCAAACTCTTTTATCGTGTGAGATTTTAGAATCTCCGCAGATATTTAGAGCAATTGCATTATCGTATGAACTAATTAGGTTCTGCAGTACTGCGATTAAATCTTCAATCATAAAGAAAAATAATTTTAAACCCTTTCCTTTCTTTATTCCAAAAATTCAAAAATGGAGAAAATAATTAAAATTAAATTACCTTTTGTAATTTAAAACACACATATCAAAATTTCAGAAATGGTTTTATTTGCAAAATGGTGAATTATTTCTAATTAATTTCTCTTCAAAAAATATTTTCATCAACAAACTTTTGAGCCCGAACTACGTGGACTTTGATCCCCATCACAGAGTACGTAGGCCTCAGAGTCAGATTCTGAGTCAAGTCCATTCTCCCTTGTAAATAAATAAACATTTCTCACTCAATTATCATCATTTTTATATCAAACACATGAATATAAAAGGGATAATTAAAATAATTTTAAAACTATATTAATAGAGCACAACAAACTTCAGGTAACTGTTCTCACGAACGGGTGTTGTGGGGTGCCTAACACCTTCCCCACACTCAACCGACTCCCGAACCTATTCTCTAATTTTACAGATCACCCTTATCTTCCATTAATCGGTTTCCTGAGATTTATCTCAAAATCTTGGTGGCGACTCCTCGTTCAATCTGGTTCCCACCGCAAAGGCCAGGACCTCCGCTCACGCACCGTTCAATCTTGCACCCATGTAACTTAAGGGTATTCAAGAACTGACATTCTTTTATCGATGTAGGCAAAATTGTAAAATTATTATCACTCAAGTTCATATCAGTCACATTGATAAATCGAGTAAGTAAAGTTCTAAGGATCTCATCTAATATATTACATCCTTGGAGGGAAATATAAACATTAATCATTTGATATATTACATCATCTGATATATATTGAATAGTTATATGCCTAAAATAATAATAAGATGTAACTAATATGTAAATGATTAATATTTAAGAATGATAGTGAAAAAAGCATGGTGATGACATGTTAGGTAAATTTTAAACCACTATTTGTAATTTGTTTACACATATTGTATGTGAAGGCAACCACTTATTACACAAAATAAAGATTCAATGAAACAAAAAATTATGGCATCTCAATGAATAAGCAGCTGTCATGCATTAGTTAGATTGTTGAAAATCTCTATATAGACTACATTTGACGTAACGTTTGTGGGCTTGCCATCTGCATCAAGGATTAATATCTTCAACCCTTTCTTACTCTGCACTCAAGATATAGCCACATATAGCTGGCCATGTGTAAAGACAGGTCTTGTTAAGTACAGCCCAATGTTAAGTAAGCTTTGACCCTAGCTCTTTTTATGGCCATAGTGAAAGACAATATAACTAGAAATTGTCTCCTATAAAGAGTGAATGGAAGTCGAGAGTTAGAAGGTGACAAATCAATCCTTGGAATATAGACCTTTGTCCCAGCATTTAATCTTGAAATTATTTGTGCTTCTATAATATGTTTTCTTGCCCGGTTGACAATTAGATGTGTGCTATTACAAAGATCAAGAGATTTATAAATATTTCTTAAGAGCATAATAGGAGCTCCAACTTTAAGTATCAGCACATAGTTTAGGAGGCTAG